CCAATACTTCATTTTCTGCAGGGCCCTTCATTCATTCCACAGCTGTTTCTGGAGGGCTGATTATGGGAACCCAGTGCTGAATCAGACCTTGAGGATGTACAGTCTGGTAGGTGAGTTAGGGAGTACCTAAGTGGTGTAAACAGTTAATGCACTCAGCTGCTAAACAAAAGGTTGGAGGGAGGTTCTAGTCCATCCAGAGACGCCTCGGAAGAAAAGCCTGGCAGTCTACCTCTGGAAATGGTTTCAGCCATTGAAAACTCTATGGAACACAGTTCTACTCTGACACACATGGGGTCTCCAAGAGTCAGAGTCCACTTGCTGGCAATTGGTTTTTAGGTGAGTTAAGACACATTCTGGAAAACACTCTAAGGCTGCACTGTCCAATAAAGCAGATGCTAGCCACGTATTAAGGAACTTGCTGCAGTCAAGTCGATTCTGACTCATAGCGACCCTACAGGACAGAGCAGAACTGCCCCATTTGGTTTCCAAGGAGTCCCTGATGGATTCAACTGCCAACCTTTTGGTTAGCAGCTGTACCGCCTAACCATGACGCCACCAGGGGGTTTCCTAGCGACATACAGCTATTCAAATTTAATTAAAATAAAATAAAATAAAAATGCAGCTCTTTAATCCCACTAGCCACGTTCCAAGTGCTCAGTAGTCACATGTGGCTAATGGGTACTGTACCGGGTAGTGCAGATACAGAACATTTCCACCTTCTTGTTCTATGGGACCGCCCTGCAGAGAGCAGTAAAGCCTGCGGGCTCTGGACAAGCCCTGGGTTCAAATCCTGCCTGTTATTTCACAGCTGCAAAGTTTGTACAAGTAACTTGACCTTGCTCTGAGCCTCCACTGTAAAAGTGGGGAATGACAGCACCTCCCTCAGAGAGCTTTGGCAAGGATTCAGAGCTAATAAATGCGAGGGGTTTGCTAATAGATGGTCCATAGCAAGGTCCCAAGAATCCTAACTAGTATACAATTATCAGTGCTGTGAGCATGACAACAGCTCTGGGCAAGTCAGCATTCATTTTCTAATAATTGGAAACTCACGGACTCTCGACTGAGTTACATCCAGTGTCGACCCCTTCCTAACTAGTTCCCTTGGGAAGTGGGTAGTCCACCTCCCTCCCTGCTCATACTGGAAGTTTGTCTACACAGGGACAGGAGCTGTTTCTTCTGTCTTTCCTTAGTTGTCTGTGTTGGGGCGGGGAGCTGCTTAATCAACTCTTGATGAGTGAAGAAATGAATGAAAGGGGATAACACAGGCGGATCTGACTGGGCCTTTTGTACAAGTGAGCGGGAGGGTCCGAGAAGTTATTATTATGACGTTTCAAATTTCCTGGGTGTTTTTTTTTTTTTTTTTGCAAGAAAAGGTACATCTCTTGATCAGCATCTTAGGGTTCCCTCCCCTCTCTCCCCTCCTCTCCACTCCCTGGGGACAATTAACCTACACTGCGAGCTCAAGGGTCTTGGCCCTTCCCCCTTTGGCCCAAAATAACCTCCCCCACCTTCAAGCAAATGCCTGGAATTCTTTCAGCTGGAGGACAAAGCCTTTCATCTGCCAATTACTGATAAAGGAAAAATGCAAATATCGCTGGGGAAGGTAATCAATCAATCAGGGGCCCAACATTTATTGAGTGACCACTTAGGACCAGGCGGCAAGACAGGCATTCTGGGGGAGTTAAAGGGGAACAAACCCCAGGCAGGCCCATTCTTCTCTTGGGTCCCTGGCTTCCTTGCGGTTTGTAAAGGGAGGGGATTTAAAATTGGGTGACTGCTCATCCCCTTCGCCCTCTGACAGGCCAGGAACTCCCTGTTGCAGTGATATATGGACTTCACTTTTTTTTACATCAAAAGTGGCTGCCCTCGGATCTTTTCCTGACACCAGCCTTGGGGACACCATGAGGCCACACGGGGAGAGAGAAGGGTCCCTGGAGGGAAAGGAAGAATTCGGAACATCAAGCGGTTTTTGCAGTTTCGCTTTATTCCACTCAACTCACTTTCCGCCCCCCTCCAGCCCACACGCCCTCCTTGGAACATGTTTATTTCATTATGTGGGAGTAGTAAAGACCTTCCATTTTCAGAAAGCATGGATGGAGAAGCCAGGTTCCAGCCTGAGCCCCAGCAACCCCACATCCACGCTGTGTAATCTTGGGTGACCGCTTCTGCCTTTTGGAGTCATGGCTTCCTCGTTTGCAAAATGGGGAATAACACTACGACTTCCCTTTATTAAAGGGTTGTTGTGACCAAGTGAGAAGCAAATAAAACGAAGTAGCTCAGTCTTAATGGGGGCTGAAGGAGAACCCTGCTCATGCCCTCTAAGGGCTGTGGGCTGCATGCTCCAGGCAGCATCAACCTGGAGGACTTGAGTTTGGAAACAAATTCTGCTGTTTGCCAGCAGCTCATCCTTACCTCAAAATTTTACAGCTAGTGGACTCTGATTAAAACAAACTTCAAAGAGTTGCCTTTGGGGGTGGGTGAGAACGAATTACAGAAAGGTAGGGCAGGAAATGTTCGGGGGTGCATGAGAGGAAAGCTGTCTCTTAGGGTGACATATACTGAGCTGACTGTTCACATCCGATCTCAGTCAGGGAAGCCACTTCCTCCCCACACGTCTGTCTGATGGCTGTGTTGACCTGGGGAGGATCTGGGGGCAGAGCAAACATCCAGATTCATAACTTCTCTGAGGCTCAGTTTCCCCATCTGCAAAATGGCCTGCTCCAACTATCGTGCAAGTTGATGACAAAATAAAAATAAAAATTAAAGTAAGCACGGGAAGTTCTTTGCAAAGCCTGCTCTCAGCATCTAGAATGTTCCTTTATTGTTGCCCTGGTGTTATATCATCCCAGGAGGCGATCAGGCCCAACAGGGTGCCAGAAAAGAGCTGGAGGAACGTTTAGGGCCGACTATTTTGACAACCAAAGTCGACCTGAAGGCTGTTCATGATGGACTTATATAACCACACATTTAGGATTCCAGTTCTGGTGGCTGGTGTAAACACTAGGGATGTGGGAAGCACGCCCAGATCTAATAAGAGACACACATATATGTATAGAGGGTGCCCACACCTCCGCCAAGAAGCCCTCTAGGATTAATCAAGAGGCGCCCAAAGTTCCCCGCGACCCATACCAGAGCGCAGTGCAATGTTCCACCTATTCCTTCTCCTTAAGTGGCCGTTGAAGGCTTACCCTTCGCCTGCGCGCAGGCTGTGTTAGGAGCCGCCAGATCCGATTCTCTTGTTATTTCACTTTTGAGCACCTCTTTCCTCTTCTTTGCGAGCTCAGGACTTTTAAAAATTGTCCAGGTTCTGCTCCAGGGCTTGTCACCTGGTAAAGGACTCCACAGAGGCGGCCGAATTAATGAATGAAAAGCAGATTCCCGGTCACTCTGGTCTGGCTGTATTTCCTGTGCCTTGTGTGTGTGGGGGGGGGTCCACAGCTTTGAGTCCCGGGCGTGTAAAAGTTATGTAGTACGTACAGGTATGGGGCTGCGCTAATTTCCTCCTGAGCCCCAAAGTGCCTCTTCCTTATGACCGCAGGTCCGTATGTGGGGGTCTGGAGAGGTTTCGCCTCCATTCCCGAATTTGGGAAAATGACCGGCAGCAGAAAAGCAACAAACAAACAAAAAAATGTATACAAAATGCTTTGCATTTGGGTCGGCCACGTAGTAACGCGGTGGATCGGATGAAGGAAGAAGAGGGGCAGCCCGTTGGGGGGCCCTGGGCAGTGGGGGCAGGGACTGAGGTAGGGGGTCGTTTTGGGGGGTGCCAGGCCCGGAGGTTTTCACGCCGGCAGCCTTGGCTTGCATTCCCTGGCATCCCGCTGCGGCCAGCCGTGCAAATCTACACCTCCCGGCCGCCCCCTCCCCCGGGCCGCCCTCCCAACCCCGCCATCTCCGGGATGCGCCCGCCGCCGGCGAGTCAGCCTCCAAAAGTCAGCTCTGCACACAACTCCCGGGCGGCGGCGGCGCCTGCGTGCAGAGCCGCACTCGTGACCCAACAACAAAACAGCGATGCCAGGGCGCTGAGCGGCGCCCGGGGCCGCCGGGGCCCCCTCCCCACCCCAGCCTCC